TATTTGTTTGTCTTGCTTTGAGTTTTAGATCTGTTTTGCAAGCCTTCAGCTTCAGATTTCACCTGCATGTCTTTTTGTGCAGTGAAAAAATAGAAAAAGATTACAAATGTTTGCCTGTGTGTACATGCTAACAGATCCTTCTCACCTTTCTTCAAGGTAAAGAGCGTATTCCTGAAGATGGGGTATTCATTAACACCAGTTCAGACTTTCTGGTTGGGTGTGATTGCACTGATGGTTGTCAAGACAAGTTAGTGAAGCTACTCCAAAAACCCATAATTTTTCATTTTTCTCCTCTTGGTAATATTTGGAAGTCATAGCTTTGTTGTGTCTTAATTACAGGTTCAAGTGCTCCTGCCACCAGCTGACCCTTCAGGCTACAGCTTGTACACCAGGGGGACAGATCAACCCAAATGCCGGATATTTGCACAAACGATTAGAGGAGTGCCTTCCTACAGGGTCAGACATTGTACACACACACTGAAATAAAGCACTTCGCACATGTGGTGTAATTCTCCAGAAAGACAAATGTGCTCTCACCCCTCATAACCTCATAAGATTATAATTACTGCTGAATAACAGCTAATTTAGTTGTCTTGTCTCAGAGGCCTTTATCCTTATTCTGTCTTCTTCTCTCTCTGTTTTTTCCTCCCTCTCAGGATCTATGAGTGTAATAAGATGTGCAAATGTTCTCATCAGATGTGCACCAACCGCCTGGTGCAACATGGTTTGCAGGTGCGTCTTCAGCTCTTCAAGACCCAGAATAAAGGCTGGGGCATCCGCTGTCTGGATGATGTGGCCAAAGGCTCTTTTGTCTGCATCTATGCTGGTAAGGAAAAGGAACAGACTTCATAATGGTTAAGCAAGGGCAGGGGTGATGGAAGAGAGGCACACACACTCCTTCATCAGTCTGTTTATTTGGATGCTTCAGTGCACATCGTGATTGCAAGGTGACTTATACCCCTCCCTTTTTCTCTTCTGCTTTACCAGGTAAAATTTTGACAGACGACTTTGCTGACAAAGAAGGTTTAGAGATGGGGGATGAATATTTTGCTAACCTGGATCATATAGAGAGTGTGGAGAACTTCAAGGAGGGCTATGAGAGTGAGGCCCACTGTTCGGACAGTGAAGGGAGTGGCGTGGACATTTCCAGGATCAAAATCCAGCCATCTGCTTTAGTGTCATCTAACCCTATTGGGCGTTTACCCAGAAAGGGTGAGTCTCAATCCAAAGGTGAGTGATAAAGTCAGTGTTTAATAGATGTGGTAAGATTCTCCATGTTTTCTTGACCCCAGCTGGCATTTTATCTTCCTCACTCTCCACATGGTTTTTCATATATATTTTTTCTGTCACAGCAGAAACCACAAGCTCATCGGGCGACAGCAGTGATGATGATGAGAAAGACTCTAAGAGTGAAGATGAAAGTGACAGTTCAGATGACACATTTGTGAAGGATAGTTACTACAGCTCCAGCTCTGTGTGGAGGAGTTACACTACACGTGGCCAGGTCAAGGGCAACAAGGAAGGTGAGGCAGGTCTTTATTTGTAACACTGTCAGTATTCACGTTAAAATTATCTTCTTTTTTTAATATAAAAAGGTCTAATGTTTTCATTCATGTTGATAAAGGTTAATGGCTGATTCATTTCAGCAGGGCTGAAGCTGTTTTATATAATCTGACTCAATCCCAGGAAACTAAAAGATAAAAAATTAGACAAATCTCAGCACACTGCTGATTTAGCATTTGACTGTTGGAAAGACTAAATCACTTGGGTCTCTTGGAGCTATGATGACCATCGTCAATAATTTTGAACAGTTAATTGACTAAATGGTTGCATCAAAAATAAGATGATGAACAAAAAGATTTGCAGCCCAAAGTAGCAGCAGTGATAAAGTCAGACTCATGTTATTTCCCTGTTATATTGTTGTCTTAAGGTCATTGTGACTGCCAAAGTGCACCCACTTTATTGGTAGCCTTTAGGTTTAGTTTTAAATTTGAACAACATACCTTGACTTTGTAGTCTTTTTTCAGACACTTATGTTCAGAAAATGCTGAAACTTATCTTCCTGGTTTTCCTTAAACAGCTACAGGGTTTTTTCTGTGTCTGTGTTCACACTCTGACCTTTGTCCTTCGATCCCTAGGGAGTCAAGACAGTAAAGATGGACTCACTGCATCAGCCAAAGGAACCGATGACGAGAAGCCACCATCAATGCCTGAGGAGACAGGAAAAAGCAAAGTGGCTTCCTGGCTTACCAACCAAGGGCTGAAGAAGGTGAGTACTGACAGAGTTAATAAAACAAGAATAATGTGTCATGACACTGAGCTCAGCCTTTTTTTAAATGACTGTAGTGTCTTGCACAGAAATACAGCTATAATACTGCTGAACTCTCATCAT